CCCCCCCCGCGACCCGCCCCCCTCTGCGCGCCGCGGGCGCCGAGCTCCCCGCGCCCAGGAGCCGCGCGCGCCCACCCGCCTTCCGGCCCGCTGGGTCCTAGAGCCCGCGGGTCCGCCCGCCCGCCTTTTCTAGGTCAGGGCCCACGAGGGGCAGGAACGAGGTTAGCGAGGACTCGGGGAGTCTAGACGGTGACCTGGTCCCGCTGCCGGGCCCCGAGGGGCCAGGCTGCCCCAGACCGTCCCAGTCAGCACTGGTGGGGGCCCGGGTCTGTTTCAGGGGGGAACGCAGATCCGAGCTCCCCGGTCCCCCGTGCGTGCTCGCAAACGCCGACCGCGGCGCGGCCACCCGTGCTGGACGTCCGACCGTCCGTCCTTCCGCGCATCGATGTCGCGCGAGCCCTCAGACGCGCAGCCCGCTCGGGAGGGCCGGGCCGGGGTGCGGGTCCCACCCCGCTCAGGGGCCTTGTGTAGGGGCGTCTAGGGATGAAGGGACGGAGCCCGCCCAGACGGAGCAAGAAAGGGCTCCTGACACGGAGGGCGCGCGGAAAACCACCGCGGCGCGAAGGGGCTTTGTCCTCCCGTTAACCGGAAGTTGGTGTCCTGGATGGATGTGCGGCCGAGAAGAGGACAGAGATGAGACTGGGCAGCTCGTCCTTCCAGGCTGCAGCCTCTCTCCCGTCTCCTCCCTGCAGCGCCTGCAGCGCTCGCTTTAATGAGAAAGCCAGCCCCCAACACACACACACACACACACACACACACACACACACACACACGCACACGCAACTTCTCTGTTGCGTCTAAGTTTTTTGGTCGGGCTGTTTTCGTAACTCAGTGTCCTCTTGCCAGCCATTTCTAGAGTTTCCGAGGATTGCAAACTCAAGATCCAATAAGTAAAATGCTCACAAAAATTGCCCATCTGGTGTCGCGGTGGGGCAGTGTAGTTCAGTGTCAGAACATTTCCCTAGTGCACCCCACACCCTGGGTCTGATCCACATCAGTGAGAAAAAGAAAAGTGAGGTCAGGTGTCAGGGAGGACGTGGTGTGTATGACACAGCCTGGAGCCTCATGGCCAGGTGTGGCCAGCTGATATTTCAAAGAAGCTGGAAATCCGTATTCTAATGTAAAGTCTTCCTACTTCTAGGCATCTGAAATCAATTCCCAAAATTCAGAAATATTGAATGGGCCAAAAGAAATATGCAGTGGGGACAAATCTAGTCCACAGGCCTTTCGTTGGCAACTTCTGCTATTGAGAATATTGCTTCAGTTCCTCACTTCCTGTCTCTGTAGAGTCATTTTTACTTTTCTTTTTTGTTTTTTTGAACCAGCATGGAACTCGGGACCTTGTGTTTGTGAGGCAGGAGGCAACACCACTGAGCTAAATCCCCGGCCCTGTAGAGTCATTTTTCTAAACCCCAAGTCCCTTTTGGCCACCAGCTTGTAAAGAACAAATCAGGTTGCTCCCTGGCATGAAGTTGACAAGGACACCCTGTTCCCTCCAGGGCAAAGCCTGTCTTCCTTACCCTGGCACTCAAGGCCCTTATCTTTCAGAGCCTACTGGCCATGGCTGTGCTGAGAACCTGTCTCCTCCATTCAGCCTCGATCTCAGCCACACTGTTCCAGAATGTGTGCTACCTATCTCCCCATGCTTTTGTACATTAATTTTCCTCTGTCTAAAACACCTGTCCCCTCTTCTTTGTTTTCCCAAACAAGTTATTCTCCAAAACAACTCCTCTATGACTGCTCTTTCTCTCCCACCTCTCCTCCTCCTACCAATGTCAGGAGTGTCAAATTCCACCTGACTCTGTTCTAGTCCTAGGTAAGGCACCCCACCCGCGTCACACAGAGAGGTTCGTTATTGGGCACACAGAGGGAGGAAGCGGGAATGTTTTCATGCATCTAATGATTGAGTCCTGGGACATTAAAGTTTAGAGGGTCTTTTCCTCTTTTACCAATGAGGAAACTGAAGCTGAGAGAGGGGCAGGACTGGAGTCAGGCCTTGACCTGCTCCTGGCCACGGCTATTGCTAGTTTGGATATGAAAAGTCCTTCAGGCAGCTGGGCATGGTGGTGCATGCTTATAATCCCAGCACTTGGAAAGCTGAGACAGGAGGATTCACCAGGAGTTTGAGGGCAATCTGGGCTCCGTAGTAATTTCAAGGCCAGCCTGAACTACATAGTGAGACCACCCCACCCCCCCGAAAAAAAGAACAGAAATAAGAAGTGTCCCTCAGGGCACATGTGTTAAAGGGTTTGTCCTAAACTTGGCGCTATTGGAAGATGGCCCTATTGGCAACTTTTAGGAGACAGGGCCTAATGGGAGATTTTAGGGTGTGCCCTTGGAGGGGATGTGCGATCCCAGTCCCTTCCCCTCTCCTTTTCACTCCTGGACGTGCGGTGGATGGGTACCTCTGCTATAGTGTGCTGCCTCACCACAAGCCCCAATATAATTTTTTTTTTTTTTTGGTACCTGGGATCGAACTCAGGACCTTGTGCTTGCCAGGCAGGCACTGTGCCTCTGAGCTACATCCACGGCCTAGCCTCAGCGTAATAAGGCCAACCAATCATGGACTGAAATTTCCAAAATTCTGAGCCAAAATAAACCTTTCTTCCTCATGAGTTGATTATCTCAGGTATTTTACAGTAACAGAAAGCTAAAATAGCAGTGACTCACTTTTAAATTAATAGCAGTGCAGTTATCAGGGCTACTCAGTTCAAGGCCACCATCTGCAGAAACCTTCCCTGATTACTCAGCTGGCCCTCTGACTACCCACAGTGGAGTTAGTCGAGGTTGGCCTAAATGCATTGTGGGTAATCACATCCCATCCTCCCTTTCCACTCTGCAGGGTGGGAAGTCCTGCTCCCCCCAAAAGGGAGCTCTCTTGGCGGGGATTTAGCTCAGTGGTTCCAGTGCCTGCCTCGAAAGTGTAAGATCCCAAGTTCAATTCCTGGTACCAAAAAAAAGGGAGCTCTCTTAAGAGAAGATACAGCAAGGATCTCAGTAAATTTAAGCTATAGCTGCTGCTAGAAAACTTGGGACTATATGTGTTCTGGGATCAGCAGACAAGAAGGGAAGTCACCACCCTGGCAGAAGAAGGCAGGGCTGCTTTTCAGAGGGGGAAGAAGGAGGAATATATGCAGATCCAGTTATCAGACCCTTTGGTTATAACCAAGGATTTGATGCCCTTGGGCTGAAGGCTTGGGTTACACTACAGGTACCTCATCAGGACCAAGGTGAGATGCTAGTGATATGCAGCTCAGTGGGAGCACTTGCCTAGCATGCACAAGGCCTCCGTTTCAATCCCCAGTACTGCAAAAAGCAAAACCCTGCCAAAGTGAGTTTGGGAGTGGCTAATTTCAGATGGACAGTGGAAGGGGAAGGAAGGAGAACTGGTTACATCTGCAGATAACCACGGCAAGGGGGAAAGGAGTGGTAGTTTGTTTTGCTAACCTCCCTTCTCCAAGTTTCCCCTTGGAGAGAGAGAGGCTCACAGGATACATGGAATGGCTGTGCAGGGCAAGGGGTGGACTGTGCCAGCCATGAACTTGTGCTACTCAGACCGTGGACTCCCAGGAAAGCAATTGACCAAGGCAGCAGTGAGACCCAACTGTGTTCACATAGGAGGCTCCAATCTGCTCCCCACAAGCTGACTCCAGCCTTATGTGCCTGGGCACCTTGAAGACATAGGGCCCCTCTGACAGGCCACTTTCAAGGACTCCCCTTGGCTTTGTGGAAACATTCTTCACACTGCACTGCGGGGTAGGGCTCTTCCGGTCCGCTCCCTTCCTTTTCTCTGCCTCCCAAGTGCAGATCTGCTGCAGTCTGACTGTCCTCCCAGCCTCCTCTGGCTCCCTCCCTTTCACTTCCCTCCCAGGCATTTTTGCCAATAACTTGCTTGCACACCTGACCCTCTTGGCCTTCGTCTCGGAGGACTGAACCAATACAACTGATCTGAACAGAAGACCTAGAGCAGCTTTTCCTAAGGCTGCAGCCATTTGTCCTTGACTCCCAGGGATAAACCACCCATGCCGGTTCGGGGCTGTTTCCACAGCGATGCTGACTTTCCAGAGGGTCTTGATGGGTGCAATCTGGAAATCAGAACGCAAAAATGAAACTTGGCCATGATTTCTACGCCTACATAGAAGACGCGTTGTAATGCAGATCCTCTCCATTTAGATTTCTTCTGCCTGGAGAGCACAGACCTCGGTGATGGCGGTGATGACATGTCTCTGTGCTCCTAGGCAATTAATGATTGTTCCCTGCACCAGGTGACAGTGAGGCCAGGGACTTCCGGTTTTCACATACCTTCCCTGTGGCTGTGTTTTGCATTCACTGGGGGCTCAGGTGTCTCTGGTCCTGGTGGGGGCCATGAAGAAGGGTCACAAAAGCTTTTCCCTGTCCTCAAGTGTCTATACACCAAGACGTTTCAAACTGCAAAGTTTAGGCTGAACGTGATCCTCGGGGCTGTTGTCTTGGCTGCATCCATAGTCGCTGTGCTAGGGGAAATTATGGCACTCAGGCACTTTCCCAGGTGTTCTGTGAGGCGCCTCCTCGCACCCCAGTCGGGGCAGACGAGTGTTTCTTAACTCAGGGCGATGGTCTTAGTGTCACTTCCCTTGGATGGCTGCCACCATGCTCCGGGCAGTGGTGCTGGGACCCGCTCACACGGCTTGATGGATTCGGGAGGAACCTCGGTGACACTGGCAACCGGGTAGCTCAGAGAGCTGATCAGGTTTGAGATGAAAAATATGATAATGCTTTGGCAAAGGGACAGAGGCCACTGACAGCTTGGAGCAGGAGCATCCAGACCCACCAGAAGACAGAGCGCAAGTCATCC